TTCTTTATAAATCAACATTAAAATTCCTTAAAAATATTTTAATTATAAAAGAATTTTTAATTTATTTTAATAATTTTTAAAAATAAGTAAATAATAAAATGAAAAGAAGAAAAATAAATAAAAAATAAAAATATATGTAGACTAAAAATTAAAAATATTAATAAGGCAGTTTATAAAAGTGCATTTGCACTATTTTTAGCCATATATGTTGAACAAAATAAAATATTTAATGTAGATTCGATTTTTTTAAAATTTGAATGCTTGCCTTTTAATTTGTTTTTACATTCACCTCCCCTTTTGCATTGCCTAAGATTTTGAAATTCCCAGAGCTGGAAATACGAAGCGTCAAAGACACAAAGCGTCACTGCTTGACGGAAATTAACTTGAATTTTAGGGAAATTCGGATGATCAATACACAATAATTCATCATTTAGCTTCAAAATCTAAAGTTCCGATTTATTAAAATAAAATGTCTAATAACACTCGTTTAAATTTTTTGACAAATTTTGTCAGAAATAGGGTTGCCGTTTTCAAGTCGGGCCGGTACGAGTCTTTTTCGGCCTAAACATCTAGGCCCGACTTGATCCATCGGTCTGTGTCGGTCCATTTTGGCAATTATTAAAGAAAATTATATAAAAAAATTAAAATTTAAACAAATCGACAATTTTATACTTTTACTTCAAAATAAATTTAAATATATTTAGAGGTTTTGAATAGAAAAGAAAATATATAGAGAATATTTTTAAAAAATTTAGAAAATAAAAATTTGACAGATAACAAGTCCAAAGTTTTAACAAACGAAAAAATCAAATGTTTGAAATATCAACTACTTCTACATGTGTTTCTTAACTGGTATAAATATGGTCTTAATTGGTCTTAATTAATCTGGTCTTAATTAAATTTTGTTGAGATCATCTCGTTTGGACTTCTCCTTTCTGAGATACAGAAATCAAAATTTTGGGGGGAAAATTTTGATATGGTGTACTTAAAATTACATAACTTTCTTAATCCTTAATCAAAAAATCTTTAATTCTACAATATGATAGAGAAATAAATGAGCTACAAAATAAACTTGGAATCATCTAAAAATGTTACGAACAAAAAAAGTTATAAAGGATAGAAAAGTGTCTAATTACTTTTTTGTCACCCTGTAGAATAAATCAGTTAAAAAATAAATATGTTAAATTTGTTTTTAAAAGTTATAATTTCTCATCAAAATCATCCTCGGTGCCAATGTGTTGAGCTCGAACTACTAGCACCGCCATTTCCACGATCCTTTTTATGATTTATAGATAAATTGGACATACTTTTAGGCAACTCATTAACATATATTTTTAAGAGTTCTTTTTGAATATTTAACTTATTTTTTTCTAAATTTTTCATATTTTCTTCTAATTCTGGGATTAGTCTTCCATAATAACTTGAAAAATGTGCTTGCTTATAAATTTCTTCATCATCTGATGGATTTTGATCTAGGATCGAATAATATTCTTCATAAGCATTATTCAGCTTAATATTAATTTGTCCAATTTCGTTTGTGATTTGATTCAAATGTTGATTTAAATTGTTAATTTGTTGTTGAGTATTTCTGTCCAATGAAAGATTTGACATTAACTTTGCAGTTTTATTCTAAATAATTTTTAAAATTTATTTAAAATAATTTATAATTAAATAACCAATTCTTCCTCTATTCCATCATTCTCCATCATGTATATATATGCAAATTTTATAGAAAAAAATAAGAAAATAAAAAAATAATTTTTATATTTCATTTTCTTAAAATAATTAATTAAAATTATTTAAGTCTTTATACATATAATTTAATGTTAATATTTAATTAAATAATGAGTAGGGATCGGATTTTTAGGTTATAATCTATTTTTCATGAAATTGTTATGTTGAGAGAAACCCGGAGTTTTATATCCCATTTTGGATATTTTTCAGAGAAATAAGACCTTTCATGAGAAATTCTTATAAATTTTTGAAAAATTAAAAAAGTCTTTCATAATTATTAGTTTTCAGTGAGCATTTTGAAATATTTTTTATTATAAACAAAAAATAAAAATTATTAGGCATTTTTGCCAAATATTCACCTATTTTATTCACATAGTTTGGCATTTTTTACAAAACTATTTTTGGGGTTCTACAACCTAAAAATCCTATCCTTGTCATTAATTAATTATTTTTTAAATTAATCTTATAAAGCTAAAATTTTTTAAATTCAAAAATAAATATTTATTATTAAATTATATTTTAATTTTAAAAAGAATTTATTAGAAATTTTTATTAAACCCTTTTCTCTGCCTTCATTGCAATTTTTAAAAATGGGACGTTAAAATTTTTGAATAATTTTATTTAAAAAATTTTTTCTTTATCCCCACTATCTATTGCAAATGTAAATTGATTTTTTAAAATTTAATGGCAATTAAAAATGGCAATAAGATATTGATTTAAATTTTTAATAAATAATTATTGCAAAATAAATTTAAAAGTTTTTATTATTAATTAAAACTTTTACATATTTTCTTAACTTTTTTACTACTAAATTTCCATCCTACTTCGTTCTACGACTTATTTATGTAGAAGTTGAAAAAAGAGAAAGTTACAGATGGTCATAAATATAGTTTCTTGACACCCTGTATTATGTCTAAAATGATTTTATAAGATTTAAATAATAGAATAGGTATTTATTTGTTATTTTTGGCAATATTTGTTATTTGGAAATAAATTTATTTATAAATTTTGTAATAATCATAGTTTAACATTTTAATTTTTCTAAGTAAACTAAATCTCGACCTAATTTTAAAACTTCAAAACTTCGAACCTAAACCTGGGCATCTATGGATAGGAGATTTGGAGGTTTTGAAGATATATCAGAGGAGATTTTTAAATTTCGGAGTATTTTAATCTGTATGTGCTTATGATTACATAAACTAGAGTTGGCCGGTATCGGGATCCCGACCGGTATCGGGCGGTATTATACCGGTTTTTTTGAATCCCGATACCGATTTTTTTGATACCGACACCGAAAGACAAATCCCGATACCGTTTTTGCTGATACCGAAACCGAGGCCGGTATCGGTATCGGTATCGGGATTAGCGTCGGATACCGACAAAATACCGATTTTGTAAATATTTTTTAACACCCCTAAGGATTGATTTCTCATTTTTTATATGGACGAAATTAGCCGCATGCCTTCTAAAATTCTCAAAATTTTCGCCTGCGGCGCTGAAAATGGAAGAAATCTGGCTTCTTGGCTTCAAAAATTTTCAGAATTTTCGCCTGCGGCGCTGAAAAAGTGAATTTTTTGACCTACGGCCTTCTATAATTCTCAAAAATTACGCCTGCGGCGCTAATAAAGGAACAACTCTGGCCTATTGACTTTACAAAAATCTTTAAAATTCCGCCTGCGGCGCTGAAATCGGAAAAAATTTGGTTTTTTGACCATAAAATTTTCGGAATTTTCGATTTTGGCTCCTTCGGTAAATAAAATTTTGTCTTAAAAATTAAGTAATGTTTATTAATGAAACAAACACAGGTGTTTTGTTAACGAACGAAGCCTAAACTAAAAAAGTTTTATGCAGGTCTGGTCCACATATTGAGGGATATCATTCGATTATCGGAGGTATCCCTAGTACTCCCAAAAAGTCTACCGATATCCCTCCTAATCCCCAAAGTTGATTTGAGGTATAAAGTTGAATTTGGCGTATAACCGTGGATGAAGTGATATCGGAGGATTAAATGGATATCGGTGGATCTGGAAGGTCTTCTTTTGTTCCTGAGATGTTTTTGTCTCAAAAATAGCTTTATAGTGTTAATTTATCATTTTACTACTGATTGAAACATTTTTTAAAATGAAGAATGAATTTATTTTTTTCACATTAAAAATTTTTTAGTAAATACCGATACCGATTTTTAATACCGATCCCGAATCGGTATCGGTACCGGTATCGGTATCACTAACCCAAATCCCGATACCGGTTTTGGTCAATACCGATCCCGAGGTCGGTATCGGTATCGGGATCGGTATCATCATTCCTAAATACCGATACCGATTTTAGATCGGGATCCCGATACCGGCCAACTCTAACATAAACATAAAAAAACTTAGATTTTCTTTGTTTTTCTTTGTTTTCAATTAAAATTACCAGGTCTGGAACCAGTTTAAAAGCATTAAAATACTAGCTTAAAGATGCATTAATTTATTCACTTAGTTTTGGCAATTTATAAAATTTCAGAAATTATAACTGCTCAAAATTGCTAACTGATGAACATAACCTTTAAAAGAATTTTTTAAAGATTTTTACTCAATCCTATCTTCATGAAACTTTTATTAATGCAACATACTACATATTTATAAAACTTTTCACTCGTTGATACATATTTATTTTCATTATCTTTCACGGATTTGTTTATTTTATTATACTCTTCCACTCGTATTTCACCAGTAAAGTTTCTAAACCTGTTGCGATTTAATTCATGCCATAACTTTCTACAAATAAAAAATTGGCTAATAAAAAAAATCCCGCATCTTATCAATTCTTGTTTATTTCTTCATTAATTTTTTTCTTTTGCCCTTTATCTCTTCTCTATTATTTCTTCATTCCCTCACTCACTGACAGTGGAAGTCGAGACTAAACGTGGCAAAAAATGAATAAAGCTGATTGTGTTAGCGGGCAATCAGGCACTTGTAAAAAATGTTTTTCTCTCTCTCTCTCTCCCTACCAATTTTCTATCTCTCAACCCCTGCCCTTCATATTTTGCGCATGATAAAGTGCAATTTATGACAGGCATATTCACTTTCAATTATTTCTTAAAACATTTTAAAACATCCATATAGACATTAAAGATGTTTATATTTCTATTATGATTTAAGGAAACAAATAATTTTTATTTAATTTTTAAACTTCTTTTATAGAATTTGTAATAAAAACTATAAGCTTTATTTTTATAATTTAATTTTTATAAAATTATTATTAAGGTATTTTTTGTGAAAATATCAAAAAATTCAAATGTTGAGGAAATCCTCATCGTTAATTTATATTATTTGTTCCCTTTTACTATTTCAACTATGTGAGCCTAGAAGTATTCCTCCAAACGATTATAGTGGCGGCAACAATGATTATGCTCAAGTTAATGGTCAAAGAAAAGGACCTATGCCTTTTGGAAATGATTATAACCCGAATGAAGGGAGGGTTGGACAGCAAAATTTATCACAAAATCAACAGCAACAAAAAATGAAAGGAGAATCGGAAGGTTCAGGATCTGATGAAGAGTCATTTGAAGGTGATCAAAATTTTTCTCAAGGTCAGAGGATGCCTGAGGGACAAAAAGTTGGAAACTTTAAAAATGAAATTGGGGAGAAAAATTCTGAAAACAATGAAAAATATGGTAGAAATCAGGGAAATGACTTTGAACAGCCTGGTTCTTTTGGAAGGCAAGGAATGAATGAAACATTCAATAGACCGCCAGGACCAATGAGAAATGGTTTTGGAGGTAATCCTCAAAATAATGGACTAAATGAGGATAATGGTTATCCTAGAGGATTTGAGGGGAATGGAAATAAAACAAATTTTGATAGGCAAGGAAATGGACAATTTGAAGGAAATCCGGGTCAAGAAATGAACCCTTTTGGAAGAGGACAAAATCCTCCTTACGGGGTGCCTAGGAAGCAAAATATGCAAGGGAACTCTCAATTTCAAGAATTCCCAGGAAATAAAAATGTGAATTTTGATGGAAACCCTGAAAGTAAAAATGGGGAAAATGAGGTTGTAATGCCTAACGGGTTTGTTTTTATTTTAATATTTTTTAATTCATAAAAAATAATGTTTTGCCTTTATAAAAAATTATTTATTTTGGACAGTAGTGAAGAGAATGAGCAACTTGATGAGCATGAAAAACAATTCCTTGTTCAAATATACCCTTTTCTTAAAAATGTAACGGTTGAAAGTATTCTCTCATTTCGGGCCCCTTTACGTGATATTGACTTATCTAAGGCAGATTTGGAGAAGAAAAGAGAAGAATGGTTGCAAAAGGAAAGTGAAGAAATAAAGGTTAGATTTATAAAAGTGTTTGCCTAATTATAATTTTAAAATTTTAGAAGGCCTACACAGATTGGAAGCAACGTTTAAATGATAAAAAACAAATTGCGAACGAAAAAAATGCGAAAAATGTTGAGACTTCCTCAGCTGATACTCAAGAGCTGTATAAAACTATAATGGTTCGTTTTAGAGTTCGCAATAATCCCAATTTTTCATTATCTCTACTAGGAAACAATTGCTGACCAAACTGTGAGCCGTCATCAAGAATGTGTAAATATTCGTGATTCAGTGAAGGCAGCAACTACTGAAACTCGCAATGAATTCCGTCAGAAAGTTAAACTTCGAGTTATCAATTTTTGCTTGGAAGAGGAAGAAAAGGCTTTAAGCCCTGCAAATCCCCCAATGCCTGGACAGAATTCTGAAAATTCTTTAGTCCCTTCTACCAATATTGGTAAAAATGAATTGACTAAAGAAAACGAGGACAGTTTAAATAAAGATGAGGAATTGAAGGAAGATGATGAGTATGATGAAGATAAAGACGATAAAATAAAGAATGGAAAGGGAAAGGATGATAAAGGTTCTAATTCCGCTGAAGAAGACAAGAATAAGTTAAAGGATGTTAAGGAAAATGGTACTGACTCTTCGGAATCTGGCGAAGAAAATGAAGATAAAATGAAGAATGACGGAGAAAAGGAAGAGAAGGATTCTTCAAAAGATGATGAGGTTAAAGAAGCAAAGAACTTAGAAAAGAAGCAAGATATTGGGAAGGAAACGAATGGGGAAGATGAAAATGAAGAAAAGAAAATGGATGAAGATGAGAAAGATGAAGAGGAAGGGAAGGATGTGAAAAAGGATAATAAGGAAGAGAGTGGTCCAACTCCTCAAAATGAGGAGGATAATGATGAGGCCGGAAACGATGAAGATGAAGCGCCGGAAGTTAATGGAAAAGATTAAAAACTGAGAGAGATTGACGGAGAATTTAAGTAAACACTAAAAGCGCTTGAAAATCCTGTTTATAGTAAATATTTTTAAAGTTTTATTAACTATTTTTACGTAAAATTTCACTTGTATTGACATCATTTTCTGTCTTTATTAAATTTGATAATTTTCGTGCGAGCTGTTTCAAAATTTAGATTTTTGCGGTTTTTATTTCGATTTTAACTTTTTTTATTGTTTCGAAACAGCTTTGCTTACTCTAAAGTAAATTGGCCTTTTCGAGAGTTTCACAATCATAAACACGGATTTTTACCATTTTATCAACATTTACAGTCCATTTTTCATTATGTCCCGGAACTTTATAAATTACAAACACAGACCTTTTTTGTTTTCTTTATTTAAAAACCAACTGATAAACATTTATTATTTTTTATTTTTTTATTATTAACATTTTTTAACGATAAATATTTTGGACATTACATATTTTGTATAAAAAAGTAAACACACCCTACAAAAATAATTTTTGATATCATTAATTATTTAATTTTCTTAGTTTACTAATAAATCGAACCTTGATTTGTAGTATGTCTCTTTAATTGATATGTTACCCTAAATTGAGTCGTTTTCGGGGGTTTTACTATAATTTCAATCAAATATTCTTTATTTTTTTATTTTAATTAAGAATGTTATCAAAAATATTTTTATTATTCAATACTATTTTATTAATACATAAACTAGTATTTCTTAAAAAAAGTTTGAGTATTTATTTTTAATGAATTATCAAAATAAATTCAAAAATTATGTTTACTAATTCAGTTTACTAATTTAAAAATGAAAAAAAAAATTGAATGAGATTTTATTAAATTTAATATTTTAATTTAATAAAATTTGTTTTCACTTCTTTTATCAAATAGAATTAACAAAAAATTGATTAAACACATTGATAAAATAAGTTTTAGTAGTAAAGCAGCTGGGCTATAGCTATTTCTCTCCTTTAGCTAGTGCAAAAGGTTATTCGGCGGCTGGGAGCGAACCAGCATCTTCAGTAGACCGGACTGATGTGTTAGCCATTACACCACGCCGCCTACTGCTCAGCCTTAGGAAATTAATAGCTATATGCTTTACATAGTTAGAAAATAAAAGATTATCAAAGCCTTTTGAAAATTTCTCTTCTCTACTAATTTCAATTCTTATTTATTAAATTATTTTTAAAAATTCAAAAATATAATTATAGAATTAAAAAATGGTTCTATTTATTTTACCTATTTCTTTAATTTTAATTAACTGCTTTTTTATTTTAATTATTTTTTATAATTTTTATTGGAAACGCCGAAATTTGCCGGATGGACCTATTCCTTTACCTATAATTGGAAATGCTTTAGAAATTAGTAAAGCTGATAGACGCTATAAGTGTTTTGCTGATTGGGCTAAAAAATATGGTTTTTATGTTAATTATTTAACTAAAATTGTAATATTTTGGGTTGTTAAAGTTCAATAAAAATCATTGAATGAAAAATTGAGTGAAATTGTGGAAGGAAGGACCTTTGACTGTTTCATTCATAAATGAATCCGCATAAACGTGTCCGCAAAAACTGATTTAGGATAACCCAAAAAAGTAACAAAAATTGTTTCTGATATTTTTGGCAAAATTAGTTTGTCTAACCCAGCTAATAATATGTATACTTATTATTGGAATTAATTATAATTTATTTACTTTAATTTAAAGGTCCAGTCTATACAATTTGGATAGGAGAACAGCCACTAGTTATTATTACTGATTATGAACTTATAAAATCAGCATTTATTAGAGATGGCGACACCTATGTTGATAGAGATTTTTTAATCAAACATTTTACTTTATTTTTTGGTATTGGAATTTTTTCTGTTTAAATTTTTAAAAATAATATACCGTATTTTCTGAATTATTACTCCCCCTTAAATAATACTCACCTTTAAAGGGGGTTTGAAAAATAATACTCCAGGGAGTATCAAAAATATTTTTATTTTAAAAATATTTTAGGAAATAATATAATTCTATCCTTAAATTATTATTTATTTTTTCAAGGGTCTGTTGACGGCATAATTCGTACAAATGGAGAGCAATGGAGGCAGATGCGCAAATTTTTTTATAAGGCTATGCGCGACTATGGAATCGATAAAGACACGGTTGAAAAACAGGTAAATAAATATTTAGTTAATTATTTTTAAATAATTTTTATAAATTTTGCTTAGGGAAATAAGTAAACTTAATAAAAAAATTTTAATTTTGTTGAGAAAAACTTAAAATTAAACCAAAATACTTGTATAATAATAACCATTATCTTCTGCAATTTTTTATTTAAGTCAAATCCATTCTTAAAATTAATTCTGTTTAGGTTTTAGATGCAATATTCCGTGTTATTGATAAAATCAAGAATGAAAAGGAAATAGGTAAATTAGAACATTCAATTGATAGAGAAGTTGATTTAATGACGGGTTCTATTATTAATCAAATAATGCTTGGATTTTCATTTTACGGGGAGAGATTTAAGGAATTTTCTGGTTTAAAACAATTATTGGATATACAACAAGTTTATTTTATTAGTTTTTGGTCTTTACTGATTGAAATGTCCCCTTGGTAATTTTTTAGATTATTTAATTATAATTTTGCTTACGTGATGATTTACGAGTTAATTTAAGGGTTATTCATAATAATAATTACAAGAAACGCTACCTTTATCGACCCGAAAAGAATTTTGAAAATCAGATCAGACCCGACTTCTTCTCAACCAGACCTATTCCTGGTATTTAATACGAAAGCGAATAATTGCAGTGGGATAGGTCTGAAAGAGATTATACTTCTTAAGGTTAATTCATGTAGCAAATTCTCTCCAGAGATTTTTCCGCCTCCAGTCCTTTCATTGTTAAAAATTAAATTTATAGTTGATCATAATTTTAAATATATTTAAAAGGATTAGACATATTCCAATTTATGTAAAACATTTTTACAATTATGGAAAGAAAGCAACAGAAAGTATATTTGAATATTCACAAAAAGAAATTGATAAAAGAATTGAAGCTAGAAAAGATCCAAATTATTTACCGGAAGACGGAATGGATGTTTTAGATCAATTTTTGGAATCTGTTGAGGAAACTGATCAAAATGATCCAGAAAATTATTACAAGTTTATAAATAAATATTTTAAATGAATTTAAATTCATATTTTAGAGTTAAATACTTAACTGCTTTTGTTTATGATATGTTTTTAGCTGGACAGGTTAATTTAATATTAATGCTAATTGTTTAATAAATATTTGTGATAAAATTAATTTAAAGCAAAATCTTAACTAAAAAATTTCCAAATTAAAAATCCTCGGTTATTAAAACTTTTTTAAATTTAAATCTAAAAATTTTAAACCATTACAATGAAAAATCATTGTGTATGTAGTAGGATGATAATTTAACAGTTTAAAATATTTAGTTTGCTTAAATAAATATTTAAATATCGAATTATAAAAATTAAAAAATAAAATTAAAGGAAACAACATCAAATACAATTAATTTTTTGATTCTTTATTTAATGTTAGATCAAAATTCACAAGAAAAGTTGCAAAACGAATTAGATAAAGTAATGGAAGAAAAAAAGAAGTTAGCTGAAGAAACTGGCGAAGAATTTGATGGAAAGTTTCGTCAATCTGATCGTACTAAATTAAATTATACAAATGCTGTTGTTAATGTTAGTAAAATTAATTAGTGGGGCTTACCGTATATGCTGAAATAATTACCCTTCCTTATAATTTTAAGAATAGTATATTAAAAATCATTACCAATATTAATATGTAATTTAAGGATCAATATCAAAAAATAAATTGAGATTGAAAGGATTTGGGGATGATATCGAGGGTTTGTGTGGATTAAGAGATATTGTGAGATTAAGAGGTCCAACTGGATGGATCTTGATTGATCACTCATGAAAAAGTTACAAGTCAATAAGTGCAAGAAATCGTTTTTTACAATTATCGACTTAACTTTTTAATGGGTGATCAGACTTGATCCATCCACTTGGAAAGTATAGCTCTTTGTAAAAGCTTTCGAAAGATATAGGATCCATCCGGATTGGATAAAAAATAAGAATGTTATAGCCGATCGAATTCAAAAAAAAGGAAAATGGTGTGATGACTTTATTAAAATTTCCACTCATCCTTCGGATATTTGTTATTTTACATAAATCTAGTACTATATTTTTTATCATTTTTATATTTTTTAATTTTTATTTACTAAAGGAGACTCAACGTTTATCAAATCTTCTTCCATTAAATTTAACGAGAGTAGCCAATAAAGACGTTAAAATTGGTGGTCACAATTTAAAGGCTGGGACTGTAGTTATACCACAAATTAGCACTGTTCTATTCGATGAAAGAGTATTTTTGAATATTTTTGGATTAAAAAACAATTATTTTAAAGATATTTCCGGATCCAGAAAAATTTATTCCCGAACGTTTTCTTGATGAGAATGGGCAATTTAAAAAAATTGAAGAAAATATACCTTTTGGTGTCGGAAAAAGGTTATTTTCTATAAGTAATTAAAGAATTTTAATTTTAGAAGTTGTGCCGGCGAGGCATTAGCAAGGATGGAACTTTTCCTTTTTACAGCTAATTTCTTCTATAAATTTCATGTAAAAAATAAAAATATATCTTAATTATATACAAATTATTTAAAGATTTATCCACCAAATCCATTAAATCCACCAAAATATGAGAAACGTCAGACTTTTGCGGTTAAACTTCCAGACTATAATTGCAGTGTTGAATTGCGAAATTAAATTTTAATTAAATCAATTTTAATTATAAATTACTACACAAATCATACAAGATTAATATTCTTTTGTACTTAAAATAAATTTTAAATAAATTTTAAAGAATTTAAAATTTTGTTACTTACTTTTTTATGTTTATTGGAAGGAATTTTCTAAAGGAGTGTTTTTATTGGGGCGGTCTTTTTAAGGATCTACTAGTTTTATCTTATGATGAGATCGTGGCGCTGCCTCCAAAAAATTATTATCGAGTTACTCCCTATCACAGGAGGATTCTCACTATTTTAATAAATGACCGGATATCCGGAGATTTCTCTAGAACCTCCTAACTAAATGCAATATAAATTTATATAGCTCAACTTGAAGTAAATGTGCAAAATTTAACAAATAACAATTAATTAAATAACAAATTTAATTTAAAATTTTGTCACTTGCTTAGTATTTGAATTGAATAAATTAGAATTTGTTGAATTTCTTTCTCTCTTCCTCTTTAATTACTAAAAAAGTTTCTTTCATTTAGAAATTAAGTAATTAACCAATTTGTTAATTACACATTTCCGTTTATATTTTTAGGACTATTTTTAATTGTATAAATATACCTAAATTTTAATTTTCTTTCATTAAAAAAATTTTTATTTAAAATAAATTTAAAAATTATTTGTAAAATAATTATTTAAATTTATGTGCCTAATATAATAAATATTTAATGCCCATTTAATATTTTTAATAAATTATATTTAAATTTTGTCATTTAATTTCGGCAGATTATTTTCTGTTTATTTATTTTCAATTAACTTTGATTTTATTGTCTAATATTTTTTTTTATTTTGTGCTAGATTAATTCAATCTCACTGATTAATTTAAATTAATTCATTAATAAATCAAAATTGAAGTTTTGATTTAAAAAACTCGGTTGAATATTTAAAAAAATAAAATTTCGTTCAAATTTATTTTAATAATTTAAAAGTTAATTTCATTAAAGGTGTGTTTGTACCAATAATTATTTTAAATTAATTTTTATAATTTGAAAATAAAAACAAAAAACAGGTTTTGATAATTATTTAATAGAGTTTTTATTATAATATTGGGGCTTGTGATCACATTCTCGATTGAAATTACTTTAACACATTAATATTGTTAAGTGAACTCTTTAAACCTTTGACTATTTGATAAAAAATTTTTATTTAAAAAATGTCTATAATTATTTTGATTTAAATTTTATTTTGTAATTAATTATATTTAAAATATTTTTAATAGATTATTTAAAATATATCTAGCCAGATAAATTAATTTTTTGAATTTTATACATAAAATCTTCAATGAAAAATAATTTTTTAAATTTATCACAAAAAGAAAAAAAATAGAATTTAAAATAAAATATCCTGTTTTTAATTTTTTTAAATAAATAAATATTTTTAGCGTAAAATGAACAACCATTCAGCAGAAGGGCATTTATTTCACAATAATAATTCTTTGATTAATTTAAATAATTCCTCAAATTTCGAACATAATAATACTTTAAATAATAATTTTACTTTAACTTCAAATGATACGTCTAGTAAAAGCAATTTATGGGAATGTACAGAAATGATATATTATAGATGGTCTGGGAATCATTGGTTAATGGGTAATTTAATTTAACTTTAAATTATTTTGGGTATAGAATATTAAATTATGATACTAATAAATTACTCGATTCATTTAATGAGACATGACCGGTCATAGAAATAATCTAATCCTTATTTTGAAAATCACATTACTTTATCTTAAATTAACAATAAATATAATTGTATTTATTACTATCCTGCGATTGGAAACCTTGTGATGCTGGTTCAAATTTTTGTGTTTATGTTTGAAAAAATATATCTAGTCTGATTAATTAATAACTGAATCTGTAACTCTGACTCTAACCATAAATCCTTACAAAAAATTTTAACTTTAATAAAAATAATCTATGAGAATGTACATCAATTTGATCACTCTATTTAGTTATCAGTAGGGGGTGGACCCCGAACACTAGGGACGGATGTGGAGGGGGAGGGGAGGGGGGTACGGAGTTTTCAATTTCTAAAAACCTTTTCGGGAACGGGGGTACGGGGTACAACTATGTAGTTATAATAGAATTACAACTAATTATATCAACTACAATAACAACTCTAGTTATGTACTAATTGAAAAATCAAATTTAAAAAATAATTTTAAGGTGTTGGTTATTTACCTATTTTGTTTGTTGGATTAATTTCTGACATGATTTCTGTAATTTATTTCTCTATTATTTTTTTAAAATTAAATTTTAGATTCGCGTATTTTCAGCAAAATCAATGAGAACCAGACAAATAAATTTATACCTTTTGCTAATTTGTAAGAAAATAAAAATATCCATTTAAATTACTAAATTAATAGCTATAACGGATATGCTTATCCTTTTGGATACAACGGTTTCTTTTACAGCTGTCGGATTTGGTTATTTGATAAAATGGAAATGGCTAGTTGAAACTAGGCAAATAAATTATTTTTTAATTCATTTTTGTTAATTATTTTATTTTAAAGTGAAACCCTCTTTCCTTACACCTATCCATTCTTTACTACACTTTATACATTGAGGTTAATTGCTTAAATAAAAATTTTGAAAAAAAGTTTGTTCAGTGTTTGGACAACAATGTTTATGCACGCACATCGTTACTTTGCAATTTGTTTTCCTTTTAAAACTGGAAGAGTTTTGACACTCGGAAAAACAAAAATATTTTTACTTTTAATTATTTTGGCTGCAGCAACATTTAATATATATTCTTCCTTTTTTGTATATAAAATATTGAACTAATCAAAGGATTTTCTCTTCTTTAGTATCGTGCCAGGCGTTGTTATAGCAGTTATTTCCAATCAGAATTTGTTGAATTATACAATATAAACAACTCATATAGAAATGCTATGATTTATATGTATTCTTATTTAGCATTTGTTTTCTTTACTCCAATAGCTGCTTTATTCTTTTTTAATATTATGATTATTTTGGAAGTACGAAAGTAAGAAAAATAATTTTGAAAATTAAATAAGTATAAATTTTATTTAAAAATTTATTAAAATAATTTATAATTTAATAATAATAATAATAATTTTAAAAATATTACAAATTAGTGAACCGCAACATACGGTATCTACAGTATTTTTCGGTATACCACTAAATGAACCAGACAGGTAACTACACAAAAATACCTCTTTTTGCCGTTCACTACTCAAAACTGTATATTTATAACAGAATTGAAAATAGGTCTCGAAAAGTTCATGCCGAAATGAAACCCGACAATTCTGTAAAATATCAAAGTATGGCAAAAGAAATATCGATATCTACAATGCTTATAGCTGTTGTTTGTGGATTTTTAATTTGCAATACTTTGGTTAATAAATATTTAATAAAAATTATTTTTTATTTATCAATATTTAGTTTTTTGTCACTTATGTTCTCGGATTTATTCTTCCCCCAGATACAGTTTTGTGGACTGTTCCCTGGCAACATGTTCTTGTAATGGCTAACCAATTAATTAATGCCTGCATTTTCTACTTATTTATTGACCATTATCGACGTACTGTAGCCAAATTACTTTGGCCCTGCCGTTATGTTTCTAAATATTCTGTTGGACCAACTTCTGTTACAGAAGAAACTAATCTTCAAAGTTATGAAACTTCAAAGTAAAATTGGGGGAAGAAATTAATTTAAATTTTTATTTTTTAAAGGAAAAACCCAACAAATGCAAATCAGTCCTTTTGAAAGGGAGAAAAATAAAGAAGAGAAAATAATACTAATAAAAATAACCAAATAATAAATGATAATTAATTTGTGTTCAAAAATAGATTTTTAATTTTCTAATCTAAATAATAAGTCGGACCTTACTTGTAATTCTTGCTCAGAAATATAGTTTGAGAAACTTTAGGCAGCTTTCCCCATTGGTCGGCCAACTAAAATTTCTGAGAGTGAGAAACAAACAAGATACATCTGATTGAGGTTCGACTATATTAATTCCTTAATAATGTAAAATAAACTTTAAGACTTTTTTCAAAATTAATTTATATATTTTTCAAAACAAATGTAATATCACTAGACAAACTATAATAATAAATTCACCGGATTATTCGATATAAATATTAAATGTTTAAATAATTCCTTCACAGCATATATTTCCTAGTTGGCTGAAAATAAATTTAAAATTTAATTTTTAATGCAATTTTTCTTGGGCTTTGTAACTAATTTTCTTTCGAATTTTTTTATATAATAGCTAACGAGATTCTAATTTACTTTTTGAATTAGGCAAAAAATCTAATAAAACCACACCAAATAGATCCAGCCCCACATTGACCCAAATGGCAACTTCCACGAGGAATCTTTCCATTTTGACATTGTGGACAGCAAAATCCACTACGGCTACAAAAATATCCTTTTTCACACGACTAGAAGATTTTTAAAATTTTTAAATTTTTTCTAATTATTTACCCCTTCCTTGCAATTATATGTTTGTTTTTGTGGTTGACCAAAAGGACATTCACAACAAACTTGAGCAGAAACACATTCCCCTACAGAACATTGCCCCTTTGTATCACAATGTCCAATACTTTGTAACCCCCCACAAGCATCTTTTTTCAAAAATAAATTTTTTGTTAATTTAAACACAATTATACATTGATCATAATCATTATTTTTAGGGCAACAAATATTATTTACACAAGTTTTTTGTGCATCCCCACAATCATTAGGTAAAAAGCATTGTTGATTTGAAGGTGTTCCATCATTACAAATTGCTTTAGAAATAATTTTTTATTTTATTTTAACTTTAATTTTTACCTTGTATATTATTTTGTAATTGATCTGATTTTTGTTTAGAAATTCCAGAAAAGTCTTCTCCACAACATTGATTCCCAAAACATTTTACTTGGATTTGTGTTCCAAGTTTAGGGTCATAAGCAAGTAAACAATCAGAATCTACATTACATTTTTGTCCCATAAATCGATTAAATAATTTATCTTCTGAGCAATATCCTTTAGGGTCATTTATTAGACATAAAATAATTAAAAATATTAGTTCATTTTTTGTAAATTTTATTTAAAAAAATAGTCTCAAATTCCCCGACTTCCGGTGACGGGGTGCAATCCCAATATAAATGTGCACATTTACCATTAGATTTTACACAACAATAACCAGAAATACAAAGAAAATTGTCAGTTTGAAATCCACAATTAAGAGATGTAGAGCAATGACGATTAATATATTTATAGTTATAAGTTGAACAAACAGAACTTCCTCGAGAGAAATCATCCAAACCTTTATTTCAAATTTTTTTTAAAATTGAATAAATAAATCTACCAGAATCTTGTCTACTGGCAGCAGTAGAGCAACAAATTCCTTGGTAACAAAATGTTGTAGAAGGATTTCCACATTCATTAGCAGCAGAACCCGAACAATATTTCCCCTTTTTAATTTAATCTTTTAAAATTTAAATATATATAATTACAGTAAATGTTCCAGAAGGGCATTTATTTGCAACTCCTTGTCTTTCATCTAAATTTGGAACATTCCCTTGATTAGGATTGGGTTGAGTGCAACATTCATCATCAATACAAAACAAACTACCTCCTATATTAATTTTATGAAAAAATAATTTTTAAAATCAAATTAACGATAATTATTCAAAGCTTTAAGCTAATTTATTTATAAAATTTTCTAAAATATAGTTTAACTTTTAAATGAGCCTATATTTATTACCTGCTCCAATATTTTGTTGCTGTCTTCCCTGACATTCTTCTGCTTTTTGGCACCTTTGCCCTAAAGCATTACCCCCATTTAAACAAATATCTCCATATTGAAGAGGTTTTCGATATTTACTAGATGTACAACAAAACCCCTAAATAATTATTAAACCAAAAACTCTACTAAATTAACTACCTGATTTCCACATTCCAAAATAGGGAAAGGAATTCTTGTTACTCCTCCCTAAAATCTTTTCTTAGTAAATTTTAATTTAAATTAAAATAACCGTTCTAATACAATCCTCATTTGAGTGACAAAGTAATTCTACATTAAAGGTTCCTTTAGGGCAAGATTGGTCTTTAGGTAGGTAAACATTAACTTGTGATTTAGGTGTTACTGTTTGACTACAACACCAACCACGAATACAAACTTGTATTTGGCCTTAAAAACTTGGAATTTATTTTAATAGAAATTAAATTTTTGTTAAATTTATTCACACGATCAATTACTTTGGATTAGGGGCCCGGTCCTGTCCGAAAGATAAAGCCGACCCGATAAGAATGAAGCCCGAAAAGAATGACTAAACGTCGACCAACTCGAAAACCCAAGCCCTACTTTGGATAATTATTTTTTCAACTTTGGTTGAAGAGAGGAATTAATCTAAGGATGTGATGCATGAGATAAAAGATAAGTATCTAAGGATGAGATTTAAACTTTGAAAGAGGGTACATTTTGTTATAACTTGTAGCTAGGTGAGTAATTAATTGAGGAAATACTCTATTTAGAATTAATTTGCATAAATTTTTCGCAATATGAGGTAAAGCAACTCGCAAAATTTACTTTCTCATACATAATTATATTGGTTGAGAATTTTTATTTTTTGAAATTAACAATTATTATATA